ATGTTTAATGGAAATAAAAAAAAAATATTGAAATAGATAGTAGATACTTAATTTTTTTTTAATATTATTTTTAAAATTAATTTTCATTACTTTGGTAATTTATTACAATTGCCGTGTACCTATCCATAGATAATTTTAATTACCTGAGTTAATCAGCAGTTAAATACTTTAACAATTTTTGGTAAACACCTAATATAAAGTTTCGTGTTTCTTTTCAGTTTAAATTTAAAAAATAATGGCGACCCAAAAGTTTAGTGGACCATCCCCATACAAACTGCCCGCTACTTACCCAAAGGAAGACTATATCCACACAGAGTAAGTTATCTTCTTATATGATACTCAACACAGACGGCAAGCTATTAAGAATTTTATATAATTCGAACATCCCATTAATAATTAACCGACCTGGGAATGGACCCCACACCTCTTGTTCGGCAGTCACACTTGCAACCACTCGCCCAACGAGCATAACTTCAGAAGGAGTTATCTTGTTTACTTGTAAAACTTGAAAAGCCTAAATCCGTTTTATCTTTATGCATTTACCAACGGCTTTAACGATTAGCTCGATAATTCTGAAGACTGTCAGCAGATATCTTTGATATCTCATCAATGATTCCAAGATCCTTCTTTTCATATTTTCTTTTCCCACTGATACCTAATATTGGTACTCTTGATCTCCAGGGTGTCCTAATACTGCAACCAATAATTGCAGTATGGGGAGCAGCACCCCCTGAATATTCGATCATCTAACTGCGATTCCCAAATACCAAGCGTAAGAATAATGACAAACCCTCTAAATAGTGAGGCCTTTAGATACTTAGCAGCATGCCTTTATTTACCGCAGAATACTAATAGATGTCTAGCAATTGGTGCACAATTTTTTTTATGGCGTAAGCCGTTAAACGACTCGGCCATTCGTGCCAAAGCATGGCTCTCTCACACTTAAATAACTACCCAATTTTACCCATTTAGCTATTTATTATCTCAGTGCACAGATAATTTTTGATACCCAGCACATTCAAGATTCAAGGTCTAAATTAAATTACCTTCCACAGCTACGTGAACAACGTAACATTAAATCATGATGTGAAGCCTCCAAAAAAACCAGTTGTGGCTGCTATCTTTGGTCTCGGTCGTGCCGGCTCCATCCACTTGACCAGCATCATCAACAATTCTCGCATCGTCCTCAAATACGTCGTTGATGACCGCACGGAGAGATTTGCTGACCTCAAGAAGTACTGGAACTTCGGAAATGATGTTACACTGCTGGCTTCTAGCGATGCTCAACGCGTCTACAATGACAAAGAGTAAGTGAATAGCAAAATAATACTTGGATACCTACTTCGGTTTGAACTGGTATCTCGCTTTAAGTTGTGGGAAACCATAGACTCTTCATTCATATTTTGTCTAATACCAATTTTACTCCACAGAGTCAACGTTGTGTTCATTGGTTCTCCAACTTGGACTCACCACGACATCGTAGTCAACTCCATTGCTAACAACAAGGATGTCTTCTGTGAGAAACCTATTGCGGAAAATATTGAAGATACTAAGAAGTGCTACGAAGCCGCTAAGTCTAAGGGCCGTGTCCTTTTTTCGGCTTTCAACCGTCGTTTTGACCCCTCCTACAGGGCCTTGAAAAACAGAGTGAGAAACGGAGAAGTTGGCCATGTGCAGATTCTCAAAGTGACCGCCAGAGACTCACCTCTACCTTCCATTGACTACCTCAAAACATCTGGTAAGACATTAACAAAAAAATCCTAGGTATCTTTTCATTTCATTTATTTAGTTCGGTGTTTTGTGCGTGACTATTTTTATCCTTTCATTGAGACTTTGTAAATAAATCGCACAGTGCAGTAAGATATTTAAAGTAGGTAAGTAAGTAAATAGTATTGGATACCTACTTACTTAGTTACGTAAAACATTCTTATTTATCAGATATTTGTTTTTATCTAAACAACTTTAATGTGGTTAAAGCATCAAATGATTATGGTCAAAGTGATAAAGTTCTGACATGTCATGGTACTGTTATTAAAAGATAATAAGATTATGTTATTATAGTTATGTATTAATAAGTTTAAAAACATTATTACGGTTAATTGATAACAGCTCCATACTTTTGTCAACAAATATTAAATACCTTTATTTTGATTCATATATATTTATTTATCAATACATAGTATAAAACAAAGTCGCTTTCGCTGTATGTCCGTATGTATGCTTAGATCTTTAAAACTACGCAACGGATTTTGATGCGGTTTTTTTTAATAGATAGAGTGATTCTTAAGGAAGGTTTATATGTATAATACATGCATATTGCACCCGTGCGAAGCCGGGGCGGGTCGCTAGTTCTCTATAAATTACATTTTTAAATACTACTTATAAAATAAAAAATAATATTTAAAAATATAAAAAGTAGTAGCCGACCAGTAGCGGGAGCATGGTCCAAGCTACCGGTGGTTAGGGCTCCAGACACAGAAACCTCATCACGATACGTGCCGTTTCTAGGAGAACTGCCTTCTGTATCCTTATTGTGATGTCTTTACCATTCACGGGACCATAGGGTCCCGGTCATTTGGGAGGCGTACGAGGGGCCGAAGTCAACTGCGCAGAGGCCCTTTAGACAACTTTAATATAAATGTAATGGACACACAATATTATTATGATAACTGTTGTTGCATGTGAGTTGTCCGTACTTCTATGCAACGAAAATCGTATAAAAACCGTTTAATCGTTATTGGATTTCTGAGGAACAGGAAGACTTGTCTAAAAAACGAGCATATATTTCAGAGACTCTAGTAATAATAATTCTTCAATTAAAAGGTGGCGTATTCCACGACTGCTTGGTACACGACTTCGACATGGCCTGCTGGGTGCTCGGAGAACTGCCTTGCCGTGTCCAAGCCTCCGCTTCTGCCCTTATTCCCGAAGTAAAGGCTATCGATGACTTCGACACCATCGCCTTCCTTCTCACGTACCCATCGGGAACCGTCGTCTTAGGAGACAACAGCCGTTACTCTGCCTACGGATATGATCAGCGATTGGAAGTTTTCGGAAACAAAGGTATGATTCCGTTATTGACTTCATAAAAGAAGGATTTTTTGAAAGGACGTTTGCCATCTAATGTTTTTGAAATTTTGAATATCAAATTAATTATGTGCAATGCACAAAAATATAAAAAAAATATTAATTTTATCTATGTCCTCTAACTTACGCAACTGATTGATGAGGAATACTGCTCATTACTATGGGCCAATACTACTAGTCGGGTTACCTCGAGTAGATATGTGAAAAGCCATAGGTACTGTTTATAATTCAATGATTTTGACAATAGTTCAATTATTCTGATGGGGTCTTAGGTTATGTAGATAACTTAGGTACCTACTTGCTCATTCAGTGTTTCAGTCACTTTATAATACACAATCTCTTTTTCTAGGTATGATTAAGGTTGAAAACGAGAGGCCGTACCACTCGACTCAGGCATACATTGGCCATGAAGGCGTCAAGGAAAGCCCTATCTACTACTCCTTCCCGTCACGGTTCAGGGAGGGCTACAAAAACGAATTGGAGCACTTCCTAGACGTCGTAACTCGTAAGTTAACTTTTTACATAGTTTTAGAAATGTCCTAACAAGTAGTTAACTCCTCGTAGTATGTAACATGCATTCTCTAGTTTTGAACCTCTCTAATAAACTTCGTTCCAATATAATAAGTTAAAATAAGACTAATAAGTCTGGCAACATTATATATTTTATTGTTTTAACTTTGTATTTGTTTAGACAGCTTATTTTATTAATTGTCTTTATTTAATTAGGTGGAGTCCCAATGGAGGTTACTGACTACCAGACTCTTGCCATCAGTAAGATTGCTACTGCAGCCGAAGAGAGCGCCCGTACTGGTAAATCTGTGGAGCTTGACTGGAGCAAGGATGGCATTCCCGCCAACTATTCATAAATTTGTATTAAACAAACTGTTACACAAAAGCTTTACAACCAGTGTTTACAGAAATTACCGAAAACGTTATGTACCTACCTAAGACTACGCTTGTAAATATTTGTTTTTGTTTGTAAATATATTAATTAAACAAATGTTGAAATACATATTATAATATATACATAAATAATCGTCTTTTATTTCTCCTGCACTACGAATTATGAGAGTCAGCGTAGGATTCAAGAGCTACAAAAGAGATTGGCAAAATATTTAATGTAATAATAAAATGTATTCACACAACCACGCAAGTAGTTTTGGAGAACCCTATTTACGTAGACGGGGAATGCGATCCTGCTCTTCATTGAGGGCCTTAGGGTGGGAGGTTTGCGAAAAAGCGACTTTCACGAGTCGAAATGTTAGTCCTAAAGAACAGAGGTACCTATTTAGGACTAGACATCGTCAACTTGTGTATCCTCAGTCAGCTGCTTAAAAATCATGCAATATCTCACTACCTAGAAATCCTAGCCAAAAATAACGCAATTTCGTCTCCCGTAAAAATATATTTGCTGATTAGGAGAAACGGTGGAAGTGACCTTGGCCCGAAATGGAACCACCCTAAAATATCTCGAAGTATGAAGGTAATTCTCGAGAACAATATTTCTTCTGGTTTGATCCTCGATAGCTTGATCTTAAATCTTGCAATATCCCTCTATACCCTATCCAGATATTTATCCCTTTCGGAGTATCTCTTACTTACATACAACACATTTGTAGAATCCCCCGTAAAAACTTTACTGATTAAGAAATTTATCTATGCATGGCCATAGTATGACAGTAGGTAGTGAATTTGTACAAAACTAGAGCACAATTTATTTTGGTACATTTACAATAAAATGGTTATCTTTCTATAAGCGGCGTAATTTCTATAAGTACATATTTTTTTAGTTAAATGGAGTAGGAGTTGAATGAAAAGTAATAAAAAGTCAAAGTGGTTATCAATTTGTCTAGTCTATGGAATGTGGAATTATCTTTGGTTAAGTATCTTTAATCTTTGGCGATCGGCAAAAATTCATAAACAGACAGGCTGACTGGATTTATTGAACTGAATAATTTCCAATTTATTTCTAAGTTAAAATTTATTCAGAATTTACCGATGCCTGCTGCTAGTTTTGGATCCATTTTAGCAAGTACTGTAAAAGAAGATTGTTCCATAAAAAATGTCTGGAATCATAATCTTCACGAAGAGTTTCATGTTATTAGACAGGTATTATTAAAGGTTTAGTTGTTAATTTCCTAATAAAACTAAGAGTAATCTATAAAAATAATAAGTTTCTGTCGTTTTACTAGAAATAAAAGCAAAAATGTGTTTACATGTTTGTAACAACACGTTAACCTATAAATGGGAACCACTTGATTTTTCTAGATTGTGCAGAAGTTTCACTGGGTGGCCATGGATACCGAATTCCCAGGAGTTGTAGCAAGACCCATTGGGGAATTTAGATCTACTGCCGACTATCAGTATCAACTGTTGAGGTAAACACTTTCACCTTTAGTTTTTGTTTTTCGATTCTTTTAATTTTCTACACAGCTGTTTTTTACAGATGTAATGTTGATCTCCTAAGAATAATACAGTTGGGTCTCACGTTTATGGATGAAAATGGCAAAACTCCACCAGGCTGTACTACTTGGCAATTTAATTTCAAGTTCAACTTGCAGTAAGTATTTTATCCTTTTTTAATATGTGTTCACTGCAAGTTAAGTTTTACCTTGTATGTTGATGTTTTCAGGGAAGACATGTATGCGCAAGATTCAATTGACTTGCTCCAAAACTCTGGTCTCCAGTTCAGAGAACATGAGGAACATGGGATTGAACCATTGGAGTTTGCAGAACTTCTGATGTCCTCAGGTAAGCTTACAATAGATAAGGCCAAGAGTAATAAGTTATAAACAATCCCAAATCTTTTTATCGAGATTTTATAAAAGAATTTGATTGATCTAGAAATTTACTTTTTAATTCACACTTTAGAAATAAATGCTTGATGACCAATATTATCTAGTAGTTACATTTGTACTACATTTCAGGTATTGTTCTAATGGATAACATCAACTGGTTGAGTTTCCATTCAGGTTATGATTTTGGATATTTACTCAAAATCCTAACAGATTCAAATCTGCCACAAGAGGAAAATGATTTCTTTGAAAGTCTTCGGCTATATTTTCCAACTGTTTATGATGTGAAAGTAAGTGTACCTTTTAATATTTATGTACAATTAATTATGTATATTTAATTCCCTTGAGTATTAAATGTTATTTATTCAAAGTATCTAATGAAGCTATGCAAGAACCTGAAAGGAGGCCTGCAAGAAGTAGCTGACCAGTTGGAACTTCGCAGAGTTGGACCTCAACACCAAGCTGGTTCCGATTCACATCTCACTGGAATGGCATTTTTCAAAATCAAAGAAGTATGTATTTTGAAATTATTTTTTGGTTTAATAATAAATATGTATTTTTAATACCAGAAATTTAAGATTATGGGGCCAAAAATTAATTGAAATTAATTGTTTTGGTTTTACAGATTTTCTTTGATGGAAATATTGAAAGCACAAGTGGTCACCTGTATGGGCTGGGAGCACCGTTTGCCAGTAATGTGAATAATTTCCAGGACAACATGGAAAATGGCAATTCCCCTTGATGAGGACACACCCTGTGTGGTGAACTACACACTGCCATCCCATCTCCTTATTTAATGGAAAAACTTTAAGTAAAGCATTTGTACCTGATTATGTGTAAAAGGTAGAAAATATGGAGTGTAAACTGTGATATCAGTGTAGTTGCATGCTACACATATAAGGATTTCTTAGAGCATAAAATATTATAATAATATCCCTGAGTGATTATTTTCCCAGAAAATAATAACTGCTCAGGATTGTCTTGAAAAGTATATCCTATTACTTCCTTAGACCTAGAATTTTACCAATTGCTTTAGAATCCTTATCAAAAGCTTTTAATTAAGTTACCAAAGCTTTCTAATCAATGTATTTAATCAAATCTAGCTAGTATAGGGAGAATGTATGGAAATGACCCGTCAAAGTGCTAATTTTTAATTTGAAAGTAGATAACTACTGTCAGGTTTAGTATATTTGCAATTTATTAGGATCCTTCCAGAAATTGGTGAAATGATTTCTTTTTATTTGACATGTTTCATAAATGTAATGGCATGCATTTGCAACAAAGAGCATATAAAACTGTAGTTGTAAAAGTAGCTTCAAAAGCATTGTAAGGCAGATCTGTTAGTTTTGTAATTAGATATAATTGCATTTAGTGAGTATTTCGAATTGAAAATAGATAAATAAGGCTGTTAAAAATAAATATGTACCAATTTGTACCTTTTTGATAATGAAACTGTGAAGAACATTTGGCAATACATATTATAGAATAATTTTTACAGAATATACATTTAATTTTTTAACAATACTAAATATCATAGAACTTGTCCTATAAAGCACCAATAGTGTTTCATAAAAATCTTCGTAAATAAAATATTCCAATATTCACATGTTTTTCTTTACTTTTATTGCTATTTAAAATTACTTCTAGCACTCCACTCATAGTTTTTATAGTGTAAAATGAGTCAACCTATTTCCCCACGCCTAGACATCCATATTGTTACGTAGGTACTGGAGAATTTTACCTATATATTGCTTGTATCTATAAAATAATACATTTTATTTTCATTCAGATAAAAATATTTTATCGACTTGTGTGCCTACACAACCTCAATAGTAACTAAGAATTAATACAAACAGCCAGATAAATTATGACAATAGGTTTATTTACCATTGCAATGTTAATAATTGTTACATAAGAAATTATGATCATTATCAAGATGCCTGCTCATTGTTGGGTTCATTTCTTCTTCTTTTTGTGCTTCTGGGCTGTGTCTGGAGTATTATCGGCCTTGCGCTTACTGGTGTTGGCGCCTTTGCCACTGGCATTACCGCCGGGAGTGTTTTGATTGGCAGCACCACTCTTTTTCTTCTTTTCAGCCCGTTCCTTCTCTTCAAGTTCTTGATTTTCTCTTTCAATCAAAGTGATGAGTGTGTTACATCTGAAAGTAATCAATAATATTATGTTCTATGCGCTACAAATCCTTATATCGCGAAGGAGCGCATTATGGTAGGGCGACATACCTGCGCTGTAATTCAACAGCTGTTCTAGATTTGAGGAACCAATCAAATCGGAATTGCGGCGCGGCGTGTACTGATGCTCGTAGTTCTTCGTAAACATTTTCTTTGTCGAAACCCAATTTGTGTAACATGCATACCAGGAATCTGAAACCAAATTAATTATGTTAAAATTAAATAATGCATAAGAATAATTACACAACCAATATTTTGTAATTATACTCTATTAAATAATAACCTGTCCTCTTCTTCAACATAATTCTTTCCTTTATTTGTTCCATACGATATTCTTAGTTGGTGGAATGGAGCTCTGTAGCGCGCCATCTTGGCGTCGAGGGCTTTCTTGATTGATGCTCGCCTTTGTATTTTCGCCTCTCCCCTTTCAATTTGACCCATTATTCTGTCTATGTCTTGGAGTTCATGACACCGCTCCCAAAATACTGCAGAATATTCCATGACCTAAAAATAAAATGTAGACATGTTAATAAAAAAAAACGATGTAAAATGTTTATGAGAATTTTTAAATGATTTTTACTAACTTCCTCTGGAGTTTTCCCTTCCACATCCTTGGCAATATTTTCAATATCATCTCTGCCGTATTTTTCATTAGCTTTGATGAATTGATTGAAGTCTCGTTTTGTCCAGTTTGTGAAGCCTGTGCATAAGAAAATACATTAGTTAAACAAATTAAAATTGTTTTAAATACATTCTGTAATTTTCAATTTCAAAACAAAATACCTTGAGTCAACAGCTGTTCCTTTTCTTGTATCTCTTCCTCTGTAAGAGCTTCAGCATCATCTATCTTCCGCTGTTCCTCTCTTTGAATCTTGGCTGCATCAGGGCCTAACTCAGGATTTCGCGGTACTTTGTACCTAATCATACAATATAACATCATCACTAAGTTTGCCATCTAGAATAACTTTAGTACTCACTTAGCTTAGTTTCATGACTTACCCTAATGTTTTGCGGTAGTGATATATTTCTTGATCCAGTAACTCGAAAAGTCGCGGCGGGAAGAACTGGAAGTCTTGTACAATCGGCTGCTTTGGAGGACGAGGAGCCTACACATGAGAAAAGCAAATATTATATTTTGGACATCACAGGCATAGTTCCCCAACTAACTACACATAAAGCACTATAGATACACATAATATGAGAAAGTATATATGAATGACAAAAATAATATAGTAAGTAATATTCTAGTTATAGTCTACGACATAAGGCGATATAAATATGTTACAGCAGAAAATAAGTCTACATTCAATTAAATACTAAATAAATTCTACATTTATGCCAGTATAAAGAGCTAATTTACATAATACAAGTACATGAATTAGATGATATATTGCCAAGTAACCACCACCAAGTAGACTGCTGCGCTGACCTCCGCATTTAGCTCTTTACACTTATTTACCTGTACCTTTGGCGCCTTCGGTTCGGAAACGCGGAGTGCCTCTCGGAAGTAAGCGTCCACTGCATAGTTAGCTTTACGTTCGCGTTTAGGCGGTTCTATCCAATTACCAATGGGTAAAACTTTCTGCTTCTCTCTGTAATCCTCCCCTGAATCAAACAAATTTTGTTAGTGTTTTAGTTAACTCAAATTCAAACACACTTTTAATGAGTATTGATTATAAAAACCTTCAAACTGATACACTGAATCAGTCGTTGCGCCGGGTGTGTCCATGGAAAACGCCCGCAGGGACGATTCTCCTAGACTCTCCAGCTTCTGCTTCAACTCTTCAGTCTAAAAAACAAAATTGGTAATTGTATTTCCTGATTTCTATTAAAATGATTATAAACTTGAATCTGTTTTGTAATGCTGTTTACCTTGTGTTCTCCTTTAGCTAATATGACATCAATGTCTTCTTCAGTGATTTCCGAATCCTTAGACGAGAACACATGATTGGCACCATGTCGGATCATGTTGAGCATTTCGTCTTTATTCAGTTGACTCTTGATGTCAACTAAACGTCCTGATTGTATGACAAGTTTGTCTAGCCTCAGTTTGACTTCAGCACGTTCAACAATTTTTTCTTCAACAGTATTTTCCGTAATAAGTCGGAATACTCGCACCTATAAAAATCGCTTATATTTAGAATGTTAAAACTAAAAATTGTTTATAATGTTTTTTGTTGTAATATTATGAACTGGCTGACACAACCGCGAAGATACTAGAGAATTTTAGGATAAAGTAAGCCATGTTAATCAATAAAGAAATATATAAATTACTTGTTTCTTCTGCCCAATACGATGAGCCCTGTCCATAGCCTGCAAGTCCATTTGTGGATTCCAATCAGAATCGTATATGATGACAACATCCGCGGACGTTAAGTTGATACCGAGACCTCCAGCGCGCGTCGACAACATAAAGACAAACTTCTCACTTCCCTCAGCATTGTATTCTTCTATTTGCCTGTTTCTATCTTCATGCGGGGTTTGACCATCCAAACGGCAATACTATAAAAAGTCAAGTTGATGTTATTTCACAATAAAAAAAATACAATAAAAAGTAGGTACCTTAATGAAGCATCATATACCATACCTTATATTGCCGCCAAAGACAATAATCTTCCAAAATGTCCAGCATCCTGGTCATTTGAGAGAAAATGAGCACTCTGGAGTCCTGTTCACGTAGCTTAGGTAGCAATTTGTCGAGAATGGCGAGTTTTCCACAGTTTGTGACAAGATGCATGTCTGTAGTATAGGGTGGGCCGGGCTCAGCGCCATCAAACAGATAAGGATGGTTGCAACACTTACGGAGCTGCATGAGAATGTTCTGCAGTCGCATCTTCTCTACCTTTCCAGCACCATTCACTGTAATCAAAACAAAAAATTAATGTTTCTCTGTAGCAAAAGTACTTCTTATAACAACATAAGGAATTAGGAAGTTTAATACTAACCAACATCAATATCTTTCATTAAAACCTTAGTGTACCATTCTCTTTGCATTTTGCTTAAACCAACGTAAACCTTGACCTCCTTTTTCGGTTTAAGTTTCCTCTCCACTTCTGATTTCAGACGACGAAGCAAAAATGGTCTTAACACTGCATGCAATCGAGAGACTAATTGATTGTCGCCGAGGGCTGCATTTGTGTTGAACCATGAGTCAAAGTCCTGCAAATCGCAAATTTATTTAATGAACTGAAAATTCCAACATTTATATTGCATCCCGTAGTAAACTATACTTACATCAGAGCTATTAAAGACATCTGGTAGAAGGAAGTTGAGTAATGCCCAGAGCTCATGAAGGTTGTTCTGTAGTGGAGTACCAGTCAGCAACAGCCTGTTCATACTCTTGAACTCTCTGAGCAGTTCAGACAGTTTGGACTTTTCATTCTTAATTCTGTGAGCCTCATCGATCACCATGTACCTCCAATTAAACTTTTTGAATACTGATCGCTCCCGAATGATCATCTCGTAAGATGTGATGCAAACATCCCAGTTACCAGGCATAAGAACCTCACGGATGAATGTGCTCTGAAATATTAATTATTATCTTATAAGTTCATCACCTTCATCTTCGCTGTTTACAAGTAAAATAATATTCCATAGGTCAGTTTACAAAAAACATTGTTTACACCAAAAGTAATCTTTAATTCTTATAAGGGTTTTTAGTTTGCTTATATTATTATATGCATATATTAAGAATGCAAAACACGGTTATAATTTTAATATAGAAACATACCCTTGTTTCTTGGTCACCAATCAGACAAACTGCTCTCAGTGAAGGGCACCATTTCTTGAACTCATTCATCCAATTTGTCAGGGTTGATTTTGGCACAATAACAATGTGTGGTCCAGGTACATTCCTGTAACATTATAAATAACACAATTACTTTTCTGAATCTACCATAAATTGACTACAATAAATTCCAAAAGAATACATTTTAAAAACAGCTTACTTGAAATTCTTCATGTACCCAAGCAGGGAAATGGTCTGCAAAGTTTTTCCGAGACCCATCTCATCAGCCAAAATACCATTGATGCCATTTTCGTAAAGTGATATCATCCAATTGAGACCTCTCACTTGATAATCACGCATTTCACCATTTTTAATATAGGGTGGGGATGCTTCAAAGCGGAATATGGATTTAACTTTTGTATTTGTTTCTGCCAGCAGTTCCTCATCTTCTTCTTGCTCAGTTTTTCGATGACGATGACTAAAGAAATAGTTAAAAGTTAAACAAAACCCATAACATGATGGGTGTATAAAATACCACTAAAAATAAGCATGCTGCATAGCTACTAACAACAATATGTATTTACCAACATTATATTTATTTTTATATTTCGTGTATTTTTACAATTATAAACAAAGTAATAGGCACAAAGCGCATGTTTATTGTTTGTTTGTAACAAGACAAGGTG